ACGTAATTTAGCGAAGCTGCGGAAGTCACTCGCCGGCGGACAATAGATTTTGGAACAGAACTATGCTTTCTGAAACCTAACCCCAATGCTGTGAGCTAAAAGTGACGGTATGTACTGTGCAAACCTCCTTGTGCACGGCAGGATGCACGCAGTTCCACGGGCGACCTGAGCTGGTTAGTCACAGTCCGTTGTCCGCAAGTTACAGTTCGCGCTAAAGTCAGGGTATGAAGTGATGATTCGATGTAACATTCAGTGGTGCATAACCATTACGCTCAGGCTATTCGCTTCAGAGTTCAGAATGTGGTGGCGTAAAGCTCCTAATATTTAAAGCAAGATGATGTCACGGGCTGGTTACCGACGGATGGCTTAATCCGCGGCTGATTGGTGGTCATCCGGAAATATGCTAGGCGTTCCTTTCAAGGCTGATTGGTGCACAAATTTAGTGGTGCACGGCTGCGTACCCGACCGTTCGACATTGCAAGAGAATTCGCTTCCACACAAGATTTCATATCCTAAAAATGAAGTATTGGGCTGTTGCTTGAAGCAAAGTATTGTAATCTAAAAAATTAATTCTAATCTAAATTATACTATGATAGTTTAATTATACTCATTAAACGCGAAATTATTACAATTGTCTTTTAACGCATTTTCTCATTTATGGAAAAAATGCCCTATTGTGCTCGTCATGTCCGTCCGTCCGTCCATCTGTCTGTCTGTCTGTGACTTCACGTTTTGTTCGACGCGAAAATACGCTCTCTGTCACTCACTGCAGTGAGTACTGAGTTATATTTTAGATTTTAATTTATCATGCCTAAAAGGGTGATCATTGTTGATATGATGATAGTGATAGGAAGATATTAACCGTAATCATGACAAGACAGCAAGGAAGCTGTCAGCGAATAAAAAAATCAAAATCAGCGAAACCAAGTTATTTTTATTTTTTCGAAGTAGAAATTTATTTAGAGGATTTATTTTTATATGAAACACAGACGACAAATTTCGCACATATGCAGTTCCTCATCCGGCGCTACATGGATGCAAGAAACTTGTAATGAGATGATGCACTCGATGCAGTGCAATGAAGATGACTCGACGTTGGCTACGAGTTGGTTCCGTTGAAACAACGTTTATTCAACGTTATATCAACATCAGATGTCTGATGACGAGCGAGAAGTATGCTTATAAGATGAAAGGTACCCAAGCGGAACATGTAAGAGTAAAAGCTTGGATAATATTATAAATAATAATAGTAATAATATATACGATTTGCTTCAAAGTTGGTTCAAGAGAGCAGAACTGGCTTGACTACAGTGACAGCTGTGTTCAATTATTAGGGGCACAATAACACTTAACGTAGTAGAACTATAACTATTTAACTATATCTATAAAGTAGTCCAGGTCAACTATTCAGATAAGTGAGGCAGCGCTGTGAGCTGCGGTATGCTGAATGTCAATTAATCTGAAAACTGCATGGTGGTGGCTGAAATTCAGCGGGTGAATACTGCAGGCTGGTGGCTGACATACAGCGGGTGAATACTGCTTTACATATTGCAATTTACAATTATTACAATTACAATTTTTAATGGTTAAAGATATTTGGATATACCTTGGAGACTGGAATTTGAATGGGAAATAGCAAAACGCTTTTATTTATATGAAGATTAAGGTTTGAAAATAATCTTTCACTATTGCAGTGGCAGAAAGGGTAAATCAAATACTAGGCGCAAATTCTTACCGCAGCGTTTCAATAACAGCTAATATTAAAAATTCAAGCAAATCCGTTCACTATCAAAGGAATTAGGAGTGTATTGGTCGATCAAAAAATACGTTTATTCTTTTAATTGAAAACTAATTTATATAAAATTTGTAATAATAATAATTCCGGCAGCAGCGTATCGATAATAACTACTTATACTATAAAATTCAAGCAAATCCGTTCATTATTGCAGAAATTATGAGTGTCTTGGTTGATTAAAAATAAGTTTGTTGGTTTTAATTTAAAACTAATCAATGTAAAAATCTGTAATCATTCCTACAGCAGCGTATCGATAATAACTACTCACATTCCAAAATTTCAGCAAATCCGTTCAGTATTGTAGGAGTTATGAGTGGTTCAAGCGTTTGAGTCCTCAGGCGGGTCCGGAGAAGTGTCGATTCAGTGTAACTGCCGTAGGCTCCTGATTTGATTTATTATGTTCATTGTGTGCTGTTCCTTTCCACTTAGTAGTAATAATAAGTTTGAGTAAAATTTGATCTAATATCACTGTGCAATTGTAGATGTTTGAATTTGGTTTGTTATTTAGCTTAAGGACGTAAACACGTCGCTTATACCTTAGGATAAACTCTCCGAGGGAGTTTAGTATTAATAATAACCATTCGACAGTGCTGCGTTTATGTTGAATAATATTGCTGCATAATTTTGAGCGCTAGGGACTAATTGAGGTGTTAATAATTTGAAATTACTTACCTCATTATTATTTATAATATTATTATTTTAATATCGTTATTATATTATTATTAATAGAATTTTTATTATAATTAATAATAGAATAATTATATTTTTTTTATTATTATTAATCGTATTATTATTATTATCCTCATAATTAATACCATTATCACGCTCATCATCATCATCAAAATGGCCCTTTTTGCATCGATATCGTATGAGTACACTTTCACTATCTTTCCAAATTCGCTGACATTGGCCAGATCTGACTTCGCCTGACGCTAGAGTTCCCGAAAGCAATTCGCCAGTCTACTAAGAGATTAGGAAAATGAAACAGTATCCCTCTCTTTACAAAAAAAAAACTATTTCAACTTGAACCAATTTTCACGTAGAATACAAAATAAAAAACTGTTACCCGAAGTATCAGCGGCCATAAACAATAATGAATATTGCAGCTAGCACTCTAAACATAGTTCGGAAATTTTTCTTCGACACAACTTGCGATTGAGTTAGAATCCTAGGAGGGGAAGGTGGGATCGAACACGTTCGCCAGAAGTATATATAGAAGACGCGTCTTGCAGTTGCTCAGTTGTCGTTGACACACAGAAGCGTGTGGTGTCGCAAAATTTTGTGCATGAATTGATCAAGCAAAGCCGTTCTAAAATAATTTTATAACGCTTTATCTAACATTCTGTAATTTCAGTTCCAGAAATAATCTTTTAAAGAATTTCCATGCAATCTAAAATTTATTTGATATTGTGCTAAATATAAACGACCCTGGTCTCAAAAACTTGTTTGGTGAGCTTTCAGGATCCGCCGAAACTCAATCAAATTTGATCTCTTCTTGGCACCAAGATGGAGACCATAGCAGTTATGCAGGTGAGTTAACTATCTAATAAATGTTTAAGACAATTGAAAACACGCCTTTAATATTCTCGTTAGATTAAAACTAAATTAATATGTATAATTATTTGGCGCCCAGATAGGATCTTTATTCTTTAAAATAAGTAGCAGCAGATGCTTTCGACCTTTCGTACTACCTAACATAATAAGCAACCTCAATATCCACGATTCTTTCAAAACCGCGTGAAACCTCAACAAAAATTTGAACCTTATCAGATCTTTGTAACTTTGTGCGCTTCTTCTGGACGGTGGTAGTCCTATCATATCATACCTAGTGATTTCGGCGCTGACGAATAGGTGGTGTACCGTGTGGCCTGTCGTCGATTCTTGTAGGACTTGTACTTTTCGTGACTTGTCCACAGCACCACAGGAGATCTAAAAACAGGTCATTTGACCGGATCTTTTTAAAAATGAAGATAGTTTAAAATAGCTACTAGACTATTTTAAACTATCGTTCAATATGGTGCTAGGCATTTCAATTCTGAACATATATTTCTTCGTAGCTTTATCTTGTCTGTTCCTGAACGCGTTAATGCTCTCATATTAAAATTATTTTAATCCAAACCCAGGTTGTATCATCCCGACATGGTAAAAAGTAAAGCTAGACTCCATATTCGCAAATCGTTGGATTGACTTACAGTTTCCCACAAAACAGGTGTAACACCTGTTGTGTGCATTATGTACAACTGTACATAATGCTTACAGCTTACACAGCTCGCATAAATTGTCTTCTGACAATTCTGACATTTTAGGCATTTAATTGGTTGCTTAAACAGCTAAATTATGCTTTATAATCTATGGTGTAGTGATATATCTTGATCAATATGGGATTTGTGCTGTAAAAGTAGGGTTATATATAGTTAGGCACTTACCTTTGTGCTTTGTCCTGCGAGGGCACTGCGACAGCATAGTGCACGCTCTTTGTTCTTTTGAGGTTCGATTCCCTGTTTGTGTGGAGAATGTTTATCTGCTCTCGTCTGCTATTGTTTGATATGAGATACCTAAGAAATTGTATTGATAGACAACAATTGTTTGTTTCGTAAACTCAAATTTAGCACCAAAAATGTTTGCACTACAAGCTTTTGCAACATGTGTGTATACTGTATATTTATGACAAATTATGAGCATGTACAGTGACATGACAAAATTACAACTCTGTCGCGCTTTAGCTGTGAATAAAATAGGTTAAAAATTTACTAAAAATGTTATTATAATCTATTATCAAATAATAATGATTTTGCGCATTTTTATTTTATATTATGCTTCCTTATCAGATCACACTGCATGCCTCACAAAAGAAACGGTCCCACGCATTACAATTGTAATTAAATGTACGATTTACTCTGCCCGTTAAATGCAAGGCATAGACAATCTACTGATAAATTCTCTATTTTTGGTATACTGAATTTACACCGAGAATACATTTTTATCTTTTAACAAATGAAAAATCTTAGTACAATTGATATGACATCGGAATATTTCGGCGATAATATTCTCCGTTGCATGTGCTCACGTTTGTCAACTTGTCTGTGACATGCAAGTGTCAGGCGGAGGAGCGGTTCATGGGAGTTTTAGACAGCTCATTCCCAAGCAATTACACTGGCAATTTAATAATTTATTCCAGCTGTGTAAGCACTTTCTAGACATGTTGTGTGGGAAATAGTAAAGCAATAATTAATCGATTAGAAAATGTGGAGTTTAGATTTTTTACACTCATTTTAATACCGGTTATTATCATTTGAAGTTGAAACAGACTTTTATATTCTGCAAACTATATTTAAGTTCATTCATGCGATCGAGTATCATTGGTTTTGCAGTAGAAGGTGTATTTGTTGTTTAATACGTTGATTCAGATTCCAGTTTTATTGAATACTAATGGGGTTATTCTTGACCGTTCTCCTACTTTAATATCACAACTTCAATTCAGAATTGTAAAAGACTGAAAAGTGACTGAATGAAATGATGTGTTGATTGTTCGATACTTTTAACGCCTCTTGTAATTTAGAGTTCTGATCGAAGATATTCTTTCAACCCTGCAATTGACAGGTTTCATTCAGATTTCGAAAAAATGACTCTATGTTATACGTAAGGACGCCCAAAAAGTTTCAGAATCGGATGTGTGGTTGCGAGCGTCGAAGTCTTGAGAGCCGAAGGCCGAGCTTCCCTGGCGGCTCGCAAGGCTGCCCCGCCACGATATCACGTGATACACGCGTGCAGCGATCGTGTGTGTGTGTGTTCGTTTGAAACTCGTTGCGGGTACCTGCTGCACGACGCCCCGCCCACTCTAGGGTCAACATCTGGCATATACATTCATGCCATTCAGAAAGTGCGTCATGTTTTGAACTCACAGCTTTTTAGTGCAAAGACGGTGTCTGACACCATGATAACTTTACTCGTATATCTAAACAGATCTAAGTTTTTCAAATATCATTCAACGAACAAACGAAACTGAACTAAGTCCAATAGCTTTCTCACACGACCCTAATATCGAAGACCACTATCAAGTAATCGGGGAACTTCGTCATCATAAGACTGGCAGAGTGAAAAAAATTAGTTCGGTATAGATAGTCCACCAAGATTGTTTCATTTTGATACTAGTAATCAAATGAGATGCTCCATGATGTTAAATACGTACATACCCCTGAGATTGTAGCGCCTGCGATTTGCAAACTACACGTGAATTTCCTACTAATGCTTCGACGTGCACACGTGAAGCGTGCGTGATGAAGCTCTGGACATGCGTGCTCGCAGCACTCGCCGATGCCAGAAGCCTTCCGTTGTAGTGGCACAAGTGCAAGCGCTATAATTTCCTCGACCGCACTCAGCTATTCGCTGTCGCGAGGCTCACTAATTTGTTTGTTACTGATTTTATGTGAGGGCTTTTAATTGCTTGGAAGTCATAGGCGCATTTGTCATATTCGACGCTTATCAAAACGACTAACCGCCATTTCTAAAAAAATAGAACACGGAATTTTGTGTTCTGCCACTTAGCAAATTTGTTTCCTGAAACCTCATAAAATATTATTCTACTGGTAATTTGCTCCTTCATAGATGTGACATTAAAAAAGTCAACGTTTATAGCACAAAGTTTGGTTATCGCAAGCTTATGATGACACTGCATTTTATTCACCGTGATACGAAGTCTGAGTCATGGTTTAGCCCGCACACTTGTAACGGATGAGCCAAAAGAACGCGCAGGCAGCTGGATTCTTCTCTCCTCCATAATGCGTGCCGGTGCGAGTTAGCGTGTGCAGCCAGTAGCTTCCAGGCTTTCATTTGAGAATGTGGTATAGTTGTTGTTGCTCTCTAATATGTGCATCGATTATGTGATTATTCGCCGAGGATTTATATCAGAGTAAAACTATTGTACGACGAGGTCAGTTGAGCTATATGAATAAAATTTTTGCTGCCCTGTCTTATCGGTTATATTTTGTCAATTGATGCGTGCATAACACTGTGTAGGGAGCTGGCTAGTGTGAGAAATCGATGCGAGGAATACAGTTGTTGGCTTACTGCAAAAGAAATATTCATGTGCTCATCGACTGCATTGTTTCGTTTCAGTTTACGTTGAATAACGTAAAGTTTCTGTAGTGTTTCAGGTTTCCTTGGAGCTTGAGCCAACCATCACAATTTGAGAGCTAAAATGTCCTCTGTCTTAGCATAGCAACTTCAGTACTTAGCACGGTCTTGTAGCCATGTAGAAAGCATTGTTAGTGAGAACGATGAACAATACATGCTTCATTTAATCGTACTAATTGGCTGTTAGTGACTACGAAAAGATGCCTTGCACGTGTCTCATCATTCAAAGATCAACCTTAGTTAAATCATACTCGGTATCTTGACCATGATTATTAACCAATGCATTTTTATGGCATTCTTATTCACAGTTATTCGCATCCGATACTTCGTTAGTTCCGTGTCTTGTATGGTTAATAAGGTTGATTTTCTGGTCGTTTGCTCGTAAACACGAAGTTGAAGATTTATATACAAGCATAACCTATTGCAGACTGCAGAGAATTGTTATTAATTATTTCAGGATGGGAAATATATGATCAATTCCACAAATCTTATTGGATCTCAAAGTCTGAAGCTGCATTTTCCTTTTTGTTCACTTTTAGAATTAATTTTTGGAATTTTAGAATTAATCAAGTTGTCATACAGGATCACTTTTTACAATATGAACCACCATTCCTAGAATTACACTCTGCGCCACAGGACATTCTATTCAGTGATTCATGGTTGCTATTGAAATTTTAAGATCAGTCCACGTGTCATTCCTATGGCAACTTGATACTTATTAATAATATGGTTGAAATGTCAATTGAATTTCTGATAAATGAAAATAAGCGACAAATTAAGCCTCCTGGCTGTCTCCGTGACAGAGCTAAATTATCCTCCACGTTCACGACATAATCACAAAATCCATTTCCTCTTCCATTGCTTGTGGTGATTTTAACTAAACGTTTTGTTTACTTAATCAACGTGCATTAGCGCAAGTCACATGATTCTGAACAGCATAGTAACGACTGGTTCTCTCAATGACATAGATCAGGTCGTTGTTATTTTTTGCTCCATCTGATACTCGACGTACAAAATTGTTAACCAAAAATATTAGTCCTGGCCGTTGATATGTGCTAGATTATGTTGACGTCGGTCAATCAATGGTCAGGCCATAAAAATCTGCTAATACGTGCATTCCTATCGCAGGAACAACCATGTGGTCTTTGCTGAATTTATTTAAAATCATCAAACAAAGATCCGGCAAACATGTTGTTCGAAACTGCAACCGGGAACCTAAAATATGTGAGCTACCGAGGAGCTCCGTTACACACACGCCCTTGGCGTGACAACTATTCAGATTTATTGTCAGTGTTGTAAATTTTGTATTATATTCATTAAACTTCTTCAATTTAGCCAGACTCGACGGATGTCGCCGTCGCGTGCGTGGTTCGGGTTATCGACCCTAATGCTTTGTT